AGTCAGCTGATCTGAATTAGTGGGTACCCCCTTTGCATCTGCATGTCATTTCTAGTTCATTACAAACCCCCCCCCCCACTTCCCCTTTGTATCCCATGAAGCAGAGTGTCAGCTACCATTTTCATGGTTTGTCCTGTTGGCTTTGCTACAGTACAAATCAATTTCCCTGAATTTATATCTCTGTGTTAAGTGGGAAAAGGAAAAACGGTTTGAATAGGCCGTATATTTCAAGCAAAACAACAGTACATATTTTTCCTGTATGTTTGATAATTAAGTACTCACTGGCTCTCTGATCTGCCTGGCTCCTAAAATTGTCTGAGTTTGCTACCTGTGAGTTATTGGCCAAAAATAAATTAACAATCTTTTAGTAAAGACTTGAGATCATTAATAGCCTCTAACCAATCAGTCCACATTTGTCAATACCAACCTTTGGGCAAGGCACTGAACCAGGTACTACAAAAATACATAAAAATTAGTGGGCCCTCAGCAGCCACATCCTAAGTAAGGAGGCAAAGATAGTCACATATGGAATGGGTGAAGGCAAATTTGATCAAGTCACCAAGAAGTATACATTATATATTATGAATAAATCCAAAACTGGGGGGAAAAAAAACTATTCTGCAAGTGCATCAAGACAGAACAGTCATTTATTTAACAAATATTCATTGAGACCTATTTTTGTGGTAGTCACTGTGCTAGGTGCCAGGGATATAGTAAGTAAAATGGGCAAAAATCCTTCCCATAATGGAGCTTATATTCTAGTGGGGATAGGGAGGCAGATAATAAACATACAAACAAAAAGTAAAATGTGTAGTGTGTCAGTTAGTGGTAAGTTCTACAGAGAGAAATTAAGCAGAAAACAGGGTAAGTGGTGTTATGGGGTAGTGTTGCAATAAGATGTGGGGGAACTATCATTGGGAAGATAATATTTAGGCAAAGACCTGAAGGAGAAGGAGCAGAGAAATGTACTGTCTAGAACATACTAGTCAAATACAGAGATGATAAACGATACCTAACTCTATATAGGAAAATTACACTCAAGGATATTGTGGCAACACGTACTGTAACTATGGTCATGTTTATGAAGCTTTTCATATTCAATGACCATTGGGCTGAATGAGTCACAAAGGGGATAGACTCTAAGTGTGAAGAGTGTGCAATCCGTGCAACACTTAGGAGAGCATACACACACACACACACATATGCATATATACATACATATGTATATGAACAGCATGTATATATAAAAGGAAAAAATAAAATGAGGCTGTACTTGAGTCATTTATACACTAAATGTTTACACCCCAATAAACAGCTAGGTGCTCTTCCATTCAGTGGGGATATAATGGTGAACAAGATCAGGACTGTTCTTTAGTAGCTCATACACTAGTGGGAAATAAACACAAGTAAACAGTGAGTGTACAAAGGTTTTGATAGGAGAAACAGTATGTTCAGTAGGATTCAAACTTTGTTTCAGCTGAAGAAAACTTTATACAAACATAATATTCTGGGAATGAAGCAAAACATTAATAGCAGAAATTCTCTAGCCTGCAGCCAGCTGCATGTGGCCCAACACAAAATCAGAAATTTACTTAAAACACTTTTTTTTTCTTGCTCATCAGTTTTTGTTAGTGTTTGTGTATTTAATGTGTGGCCCAAGAGAGCTCTTCTTTTTCCAGTGGGGCCCCGAGACGCCGACAGGCTGGGTGCCCCTGCAGCTGGTATCAGGCATTCCCCAAAGACCCATCCCACAGGGTGAGGGAAAGGCTATATTCTGCACCTTTAGAACTCCTAACATTTCTAAAACAACACACATATATTTTTGAAATATTAGTCACAGTATTATCAGTAAGAAACAAACAACTATGAAAAAATTAAATCTCAGCAGAGGAAATTCTGTAATGAAGCCTGTGGGCCTATAATTGCACTGCTTCCCCAGTGCTGGCAGAGCGCTTAACTTATGCGAAGTACTGTTTCTCAGTTATTTGGGAACTAAGAATTGGCCTTCTTTCAAAAATAGAGGAACTCAATCCTTTTTTTCAGCTGTATTTTATAGAGGTGTGTTGCCAGTTACATGCCTTTCTTTAACCAGCCATATTTTTTCAAATAAAACATGGCTTAAATTTTCTTTTTGGCCAGTTAATATTTTATAAAACTAGTGTCTATATTGTTTTATTCCTAGTTTTTAAAAAAATCTATTCGTATGTCTACTGGGGTTGTTTCTGTGCCTGAGGATCACAGAAGAATCCGATTTCAGTGGGTAACTGCAAACTTCATTCATCCCTGATTTGTTAGAGCAGAGAAACTTCCTAATATACTCCCCCACCCCCCGTCAAAGTTTTAGCATGAAAACATAACTTCCAAACAAAGTGAACATTTTTAATGCATTAAATACAAGAGAGAGCAATCAGTTGAAATGGATTAATATTTACAAGGCTATTTTTTTCTTGACTCCTGCAACAAACTGAAAGCATAACATTCAAGTTTAATTCGATGACTGTTCTGCCAGCATCTAAACACAATGCATTACGGTATTTCAATTAACTCTAACCTTTGCATTTATTTTATCTGTTAACCCATTCTCAACATCCGTTTTTCTTTTACAAAAAACATAAGATGGTCTATTGCCTAGAAACACGTAGAGAATACTGTTTGAATCTTCAAATTCTAATTCCTTCTCATGTTTGAATAGTTTCATTCCTACTGGTTCAAATACTTTATGGTTCATTAGAACTTGGCAAAGACTAAGTCCTTTAACACAAGACATAGCATTACTACCTAGGCACATATTTTGCATAATATGACTTAATACTACATCAACAGCATCAGAACAGTAAAACAGTCTTTGTATGTTCTTAATGGCATATCTGCTGCCATTGTCTTTTTTAAGTTTCTACCCCTCTCATCTTATGTAAACCCTAATATATATACTAAGATTGCACTACGTCTGCCAATAAAGAGAAAACTTAGTAACTTACTTTACTGATATGAAATGTACTATTATGTGAACTTATAAACTCTTAATGTTACATGATTAACTACTAGGCATACTTAATCTTGAAGGATATTATTTCAGGATACATTTAAAAGGAATGCACACACTCATTGGAGTCTCGATTATTACAGAGCTGTGTCCTCATCAGGTTTTTATCTTTTTCTTTCTTTTTTTTCCATTTTTGACCAATGGCACAAGTGCTTCACGAGACAGATGTAGGGCAAGGTGCTCCTAAAACTTATCTATTCATCTGCCAGCTATTCTTGTTGGAAAAAAAAAGTTTGTGAGTAACAACTGAAACCTGAAAACAATAAAAATGTCCATCACCTGGAGAATCATTAAATTATGGCATAGCCTTACTATGGCATATTAAGCAGCCATTAGGAAGAATGAGGTTAATAGCATGAAAGGATATCATTAAATAGGAAAAACAAAACAAAAACGAAAACTCAACAAGTCAAGCAGAACAATTTGTATACTACCATCCTAGTTCTGTAAAAATGAATTCCCAAATTACAAATATACATAAATAAATAGAAAGGAAGGTCTGGAAGGATAAACTTCAACCTACTAACCTTTGGGAAGTAGGATTGTAATAAAAGAGGATGTTAGATTTTTATTCTATATATTTCCATATTTTTATAATGTACATATGTACATTTTTCAATTAGAGACAGTAAAACTTTTGATATATATGACATTCCACAAAATTTCATCTTTTTAAAAAAGTATACAATTCAGTGTTTTCTTAGCATAGTCACAAAACTGTACAACCATCACTATTATAATTGCAGACCATTTCATCACTTTAGAAAGAAACCCATACCGTTGGCAGTCACTCCTTATCCCCCCTACCCCAGTAAATTTTTAAATACAATAACTTAAGAATGAAAAGGGAGTAAGTTGAAACATCCAAAATGTTGTCTCTAGATTTTTAAATTAAAATTCAAGAATTTAAACTCTCTCCTCCTTTGACTACAACTGAAAACAAGATGCCCGATTTTACATAATAGTCTGATGTTTATGACAAAATGGCAGAAATAAAACCGCATTACCCTCAAATAGCTTTAGTAACAAGCTGTTCGCCTGCCTATTCTTTAAATATTAGCTCAAGACACTCTAGACAGTGCAGAGATAGGAGTGGGGTGAAAGGTGAGCAGTGACAAGTGGTTAGACTGGAATGGGGGCGTAATAGATGGGGTAGGAAAGGGGGTAGTGTTGGGATGGGGTGGGGTGGAGAAGGCTCGAAGAATGAGTGGTGGAGACAAGGGTATTTTCCATGGACCATCTGTCTTTAACCTTTATTTAAAAAGTAGGCTAGAAGAAATAGTCGTCGCGCTCAAGGCATTTGCCATCTAGTACTTCAAGCTCTTGTAGTTCTAAGTGTAGCCTGTGGACCAACAGCACTGGCTGGCATTGTCTGGGCACTTACGAGAAACGCAGGACATCAGATTTCTCCTGAACCCAACTGCCTTTTAACAAAGTCTCCAAATGACTTGTGTGTATATTAAAGTTTGAGAAGCACTGCTTTCCTTGACCTCCCAAAGAAAGCAGTTCAAATTAAGCCCAAGTCCCAGATCTAAGTCCCGGTTCTTAGTCCCTGACCAGGGACGGCAGGTGCGCCAGAGAAGGGGCGGGGCCAGGGAAGGGGCGTATCCCCGAAGCCTGAGGCTCTTAGCCTAAACCTCTTGCTTCCCTCGGCGGTCCTCCCCTTCAGCACGTTTGGTTAGGCTCAGTACGGCTACCCGTTCTCTTTTTCCGGTAGGACCCACCTCTACGACTCACGAAATTCTACCTGCTCCTTCCTGGGCCGGGAAGCTGGCTCTGGCGGTCGAGGTTCGAAACCGTGGGGTCCAAAACACCGTCAGAAACTCGCGCGACTGCTCCTCCCCCGGCCCGTAACTCCGCCCCAACCTGATCCTTGGGAGGTGGAGACCGAGTAAGTTCCAGTCCCGCCCCTGCCGAGCCAACAGGAAGTGACGTAATGCCCCGGCCGGCCGGTCTTTCGGTCTTTCTCCTTCTCCCTCACTCTTCCTCCTCAATCCCTCCCCTCCCCTCCCCCTTCCCTCCTCTGGCTCCAGCCTGCGAGGGCGCGCGGGTGGATTAGGCTATGGAGTAAGCCGCAGCTTCCGCCGGACGCTGAAGCTGAGCAGTTGCGACCGGGAGGTGTTTGGCGGGGCGGGGGAAACGAACCTCAGAACCGCCCTTCCCGGGAGAAGAGGGGAAGAGGTGAGTGACCGCTCACGGGCACCGAGTGACCTCCTCGCCGGCCGCGCACCTGCCTGGGCCGCCAAGGCCGGCGAAGAAGGCATGGGGAAGGACCTGCGCTGGGGCTAGGCCTCCCAAAGACCCCAGTGCTGGCGACTGTTGCTAGGTGACGGGCCTGCGGGCTGAGAGCCGGTCTGGCAGGGCGGTGGGCGCCCGTGTGAAGCCCGGCTCGGGGAGCGGCAAGCTCCGGGGAGCGGATCCGAGAGGCCCGAGTCTGCAGAAGAGGCCTTGAGGTGACGGGAGACCCAGGGCCGGAGCCGTCTGCTGCAGGGAGAGCCCTCCGTTCTGGCCCAGGAGCTCGGGTTTCCGTTGTGGAGCTCTTGGTTCCCTTTTGGGAAATTGGACACTCCTTCGGGACTGGGTGAGACGGCTCCCCTCACTTCTGAGGTCCGCGTCTGATAGATAACCTGGGTTACCTCCCGGCGTCCTTTTCTGACAGTAGGTATAGTCCTGGAACGGAGGGTTATTGTGTTTGAGGTGGGTGGGGCAGGTGTTTTGTTAAGACTGAAAACCCCGTCGGAGGCTTCTGCACTCGTGTTTTTCTAAGCGGAAGAGAAAGGATGGAGTAAGGTTTAGACCGGTAAGCCTTGCAAAAACTTCTTGGGATCCGACTGAGTATATACCTATTATTAGTAATTCAGGAGACCAATATTGTCAAGTCAGCCCCTACAACTCTTCATGAGTGTCCCCACTCAAGCGACTTAAAGGCGCTATAGCAGTAGTGACTTACAGTTGTAAATTGCAAGCTGTTTTCTGGTACGTTGCAAGCTGTTTTTTGTAGATCAAATTCAGGAATTATCTGTGTGATGATTTGTTTTACAAATTGGGTTCTATGAGTAAGAAGTTTTGTAAGAGACATTCACATGCTCTCCATTCTGGAAAATTAACATAGTTTTACAGTCTGTCACTGTAAAACTCTTCTGGTGCTTGAAGCTTCCTTTGTAAATTTCCAGGCTCTTTTTGTTTGGCTTCCTGTCTTATTCTTTAGTATAAATGTTAATTTTTAAAAGATTTAAAAATGATTTATCAGCTGGGGTTGGTAGAATTCTTGTCAATATTATACTGTACTCATAAAAGACATTTCTAGGGGATTGTGTAAAAAAAAAAAAAAAACCTAATGGAAGGTAAGGATCTTCATTCTGTTCAGATCCACTTTACACACAGGCAGAATCCTATTCTTTGTCCCTAAGACCCACGAATGACCAGTAAAATAAACACAGGCACATTGTACTTCCATACGATAGAATATTTTTGTACAAATTGACCCTGTAATTGGGAATAACCGCTCCTGCTCACATGATTTCATCCCCAAGAAAAATAGGTCCTCTTATTGTGTTTAACTGACTCGTTTCATCATCTGCCCTTTTCTATAGGAGTGTGACAGCGTCCTCTCTTTTGTGCCTCATTATCTGTTTCTCATTAAGTCGTGTTGATTTTCCCTCTTGAATATCTTGTCTGTCTTCATCTTCACCACTTGTAATCCAATTCCAGCCACCGTCATCTCTCATCTGAAGTGTCACTTGCCTCCTAATTATGGTCTACCTGCATTTACCGTGTCCCTCGCCACCCCTCCTACCCCCACCCCAGGGATTCCACACCAGACTGAGTGTCATTTTAAAAATGCAGATCTAATCATGTTGTCTCCATGTTAAAGACCCTTCAGTGGCTTTCATTGTTTTTAAGAGAAACTAAAATCCTTAACAGCCTGTGTGGGTCCCCTGATTGCCTTTGCAACCTCACCTCCACGGTACTTTCTGGCATTCCTTTCTTCCCTAATCACTCTGTTCTGCTCCAGGTGCATGGCTTTTGGTTCTGAAGCTTTCTCTGCTTGGTAGTGCATCTACTTTCCTTTTCATCCAGTTAATGCCTACTCATCATTCAGCTTGCTTCAGGAAGACTTGGCTGATTAGCGTAGATTCCCCAAATTATATGTTCTCTTAACACCATTACAGAGTTGCCATGTTTATTAATATTTAATAATTTAATGAGATGTTGCTCATCACTGTGTTTAATAAATGTTAAATGAATTAATTCACTGAATACTTACTGAACGTTCCAGTAATTGTACTAAACATTTTATATGCCTCGTCACCTTTAATCCTGATAGGAGTCACTTGAGAAATGGGTGGCATTTCCGCCTTTTTAAAGGTTAGAAATAGTGTTAGCAAGGCTAGTTGGTGCATGTTTTAAGTATTAGAACTAGCATTTGAACCCAGGTTTCCTTGCCATTGAAAGTTGAGTACTTAATCATACAACACTAAGTTCTCACACTGTACGTCAGAATCATCCGGGGGAGCTGCTCAAAACACAAATGTCCTGACTGTCCATTTATATTGTAGATTCTTATCCCAAAGGTTTGCGATAGTACATAAGTATCTATATGGTTTAACAAGGTATTCAGTCATTAGATGTTATTAGATGTGCACTAGAATTTGAAAACCATTGTTTTAGATGACACTTCAGTACTTTATGAGTGTCAATTTTTACACACTGTACTACAATGTATTTCAGATTTTATATGTTCTTAAATCAAGGAAGAACTGTGGGCCTAAGAAGTGACCTTATTGATCATTTAGTCAAATTTCCTATCCAGGTTTTCCTTTTCTCCCTTTTCCAGTTCAAGGGGCTGCATAGTAAGACTGCCACCCCAGTGCTGCTATTTTTTTTTTTAATTACAATAATTTCAAGAATCTGATTAACTTCCTATAGTAAAAATTACACCAGGTACATGTGCTGCAGTTGCGTTCAAAAGAATTGGGTATAATCTCTTCTCAGATCTTACTTATTGTTCAAATTACTAATTTCATATTTAGGCAAGTTTCCTCATAATCTTTCATGTTGCTTTTTACATCTTATTGTGCAATGGTCTTAAGCTTGTAAGCAGTGATGGACACTGAATGTTTTACTTCTCGTTTCTCCTAATGTATCTAACTTGATGCTTTCTACTTAGTAGGTCTTCAGTAATTTGTTGAATGGTTGTGTACTTCACAGTACATAGCTAAGTCTCTTTAGTGTTTTATTTTTGTTTCTTAAAGTAGGTTTGTTTTCTGGAAGTAATCTGTTGTAGCTCAACTGATAATTATTAGATACTTTGCATGGTTATAAAAACAATGATTGTACTCAGCTGGTACAATCTTTGTTTCCTGAGTAAGATTAAACATGACTTGTGTATAGACCAAAGAATGGTATTAACCATTTTTTAAAAAAACTGTATTGTTTTATAATTTCCATTGATCTCTGAGTGCTCCCACAGGAAAAAGAAAACATGTATTTTAAGAATGTATCGCAGAATCATCTTTCTTTAGGTATAAACAGATAAGTACTGCATATAGGAGTATAAGTACAAAAATTTTCCCCAAATTTTATGAGCATTTTAGCAAAGGTATTTATGTCATGTTAATATAACTCTTATTTCAAATTACAGAATTTCATTTTATGAATGCCTATTTAAGTGACTATATAAATGGTATTCTTTTATTTTCAGTCATTTACGTAGAAAGAAATCTCAGACCCTGTTGCCTCTTTAATAAAAGCTATTTTGAGTTCATTTGTATTTATTTGTATTATTGTTTTTTGTAGTCAATGTGTAATAATATTTTGTATTTATTGAAAGTCTAGCCTCTGCTAGGTGCCATGAAACTAACAGTTACTAAACATAATTTCTTTATCAGATGTAATTACAGTAGCCTTATTTGCTTTATAATATTTCCAATAAAATGCAAGCTAATTCTACTTTTCAATATTCTTGGTAAATTAAGGGACTCCTTTTGCATTTGTATTACTTGAAAATTCAGGAAATGTTTTTAGCATAAATATAATTTTAACTACTATATTCTTGCTATGTCTAAAGTTTATGAGTAGGCAGAACTGAAAGTATTGCCAGTTCCTCTCAATTACCTGCCATCAGGTGCTTTACTACTCAATCCACCTTCTGTCAGGTGCATGTAAAGTCTAGTAATACAACAGATTTACCTACTGATTCTACTAAAAGCCTAGCAATGGCTGAGCCAGATGGTAGAAAGGTATAATCTTGGGATCATATTGAAGCTGTCCCAAATCTTATTTTGGCTGAGATTTAGGAGGGAAAGATGATTGAATTTAAAGTGAATTCCACTAAGTTGTGTACAAGGGGAAATGGCTTAAATGAAGAAATATTTCTGTCATTTATAACTTTGTCTTTGGGAAAAAATGCTTATTCATTTAATCAAGTGAAAATTTGAAAAGCTATCATTCACTTTAAGAAAAGATATTTGGTCTCTAGGTTTCTTATATGTCAAAAGGCTATTGCCGATAATTCAAAATCTAATTTTACAAGCTCGTTTACTTCTTTCTGTCCTTAGCCTTCTGTTGCTCTCATGATATTTTTCTTGGATTTCCCTGGATCATCATTTTTAAACCCACAGTCTTGCTCAATCCACTGAGCCACACCGGCCAGGGCAGGCACTCAAGCCCACAGTCTTAACTACTATATGCTTGTAAGCTCATGGTGCCCAAATTTACATCTTCAATCAAGAAGTGTTTTCTAAGTTTTTGGCCCGCATATCTAAAATCCTGCTAGATATATTTCCATATGAATGTCATTAAGTCCACTAAAGTTAAATATGTCCAAAAGTGAGTTCTTCCTCCCATAAAAGAAACAGTTGTCTCCTTTAAGGCCTGCCTTGGGAAATGGTTTCACTGTCCACCTAGACTCTGTAATTAGAGACCTGATTGGGATTCCTAGTACTGTCCCTTCCCTTTATCTAATTGGTCAGTAAGTTCTCTCAGGTCTAATTCATACTCAGTTCTTAATTTTTCTTTTCCTTTCCTTTCTTCTCCTTCCTTAGTGCTATTTCCTTAATTCAGCAACCTCCCCCTCTTTTAAAATTTTGATATGTGATATATAAAAATATATAATGAAGTTTAGCATATAAAATAAACATCCATGTAACTAGCACTTTTGAAACACTCACTTAACTCTCCATCTCTTCCCTATCTTCTTTGTCCCTACTTCTAAGTCTTTTCTTTATTTTATGCACATACACACATACCATATTTCCTGAACTATGTACTGATGTACTCTTTAGTACCATATTCCATACTTCTACCTATAGTATATCATTCACTCTGCTTAATGGATTGATCACAATACCTCGTGCCTGAAATGCTTCTGTGGCTTATTATAGTTTGATTTCTTGCTAGTTTATACCCTTGGTGATTTGGCTTTTTTAAGTTTCTTTTCCCATCCATCCTTCTTATAATTCCAGCTTTTATATGAACTGCTTTGTTGCTATTCCTATACTTCTACCATTCACTGTCTAGTTCACTCCTACTCACCTTTAAAGACATCTCTAGTACTACTGTTTTGGGGAAACTTTCTTCCATCTGTTTCCTCTTTTTTTTTTTTTTTTGCCCCTACAACACTGCGCATGTATATTCCTTAGCATTTTATCACTGTAGGCT